CCTTACCGCACCTACACCTCCTCATCCCCCTCCAGCACGCGCGCCTGCACAATCTTGATATCCTCGACGGGCCGATCCTCGGGCCCCGTGCCCACCTGCCCCATGCGCTTGACGGTGCCGAGCCCGGACTTGACGCGGCCAAAGATGGTGTGCTTGCCGTCGAGCCAGGGCGTGGGCGCGAGGGTGATGAAGAACTGGGAGCCGTTGGTGTTGGGCCCCGCGTTGGCCATGCTAAGGACGCCCGCGCCCGTGTGCTTGAGCGCCGGGTCGATCTCGTCCTCGAACTTGTCGCCGTAGATGGAGGCGCCGCCGCGGCCCGTGCCCGTCGGGTCGCCGCCCTGCACCATGAAGTTGGGGATGACGCGGTGGAAGACGGTCGACGTGTAGTAGCCGCGGCGGACGAGCGTGGCGAAGTTGTTGCACGTCTTGGGGGCGTGCGAGGTGTAGAGCTCGAGCGTGATGGAGCCCTGTTCACACTCGTGTCAGCTGCGGCTCGCGGTGCGCCGGGGAAGGCAAAGGATTCTTCGTCACGTACCATTGTGGTTTCGAGGACGATGTTGGTCGTCATGATGGGCGCGCTCGTGGTTCCGACCCAATTGGCCGGCGCGCGGGGCGGTAAGCTCGAGGTTCGAGTTCGTGCTGCTTCACACGAACGTGGTGATGGCGTTGCGGTTGCGGTTCGAGGCGGGACGAGGCTGCGACTTTTGGCTGCGTGAGGGCGTCGCTGAGAAAACGTCATTGGCCCAAGCCACCGACAGCTCCAGGGACTTTGGTGGCATGGATGTGGCGCAGGCCCCGCAGTGGATGGGCGCCGCCCGTCCAAGATCCTTGCCTTGGGCCGCCTTTTGCCCATGCCGCGCCACGCCAATGCAAGTCACTCCTCCGACCTCAACTGACGGCAGCCGTGCATCTCGACGGCGCCCGTTTACAAAACACCTTGCATTTGCAACGCGGGCGTCGTGTTGACTGCCCTGCTGCATGCCCACAAAGCTGCAAACCCCGGTCTCCCAAAAGCCCCATTTCATGCACATGGGAATGGCCTAGTCACGGCAAATCTGTCACCACCAAAGCCTCAAGGAACTGGGGAGCGCTGTCGCCCAACTCAGTCTTCCTCACGGGCATCACCACTTTCGTTCAGAGACTCACGCTTTGAGCGACACGCTGCCACCCCTGCTTCGGAATGGCGACCAACGCAACCGGAGGCATGGGCCCCGGCGAGGGCATCCTCGACGGCGTCAACGCCACCCTCAGCGGCAACGGCACTGACTCTGCCTCCTCCGCCTTCAGCCTCCTGCGCGACCTCGACTTCATGATGCTCGAGCTCAAGCTCGTCACTGGCGCCATGGGAATCATCTACCTCGGCGCGCACGCCTCTTTGCGCCGTCCACCGTCCGCCTCCCCCGCCAAGCCCAAGAAGACCCGTGACGGCCGGGAGCAGGACGAAGACGAGGACGAGGACCGCTTCTCGCAGGGCCTCGAGCTCACCGACGCCATTGTCTTTCCGCTCGTCGCTGGCGCTATTCTCGTCGGCCTGTACTACCTCATCCAGTGGCTCAACGACCCGGCCATTCTCAACAAGGTCTTGCGCTGGTACATGTCGACCATGTCCATCGCCAGCTTACTGACGCTGTACGCCCATGCCATGGAGCTCGCCACCTCTTTTGTCTTTCCGCGCTACTGGCGCGCGCGAGACGGTGTCCTGAGAAAGGTCATCCAGAGCGCCCGGGCCGTCGCGCTGTGCGACGACGTGGGGAACGTGGTTGAGGGGCGCAACGCCGCGACCGAGTCGAACCCACTGCCTGGCCCGCTCGCTGTGCTGGCCTGGTCCGAGAGGGCCAAGAACGCGGCATGGGGGCTGCGCAGCCTGCTCACGAGGCACTGGATCATCGGGTTCTTTGTCCACGGCGTCGTCGGCAAGCAAAAGGCCAAGATCAAGTTTGCCCACATGATGTCCCTGCTGCTGGCGCTGGCAACGGCCCTCGTCTACTTTTCGACGTCGTCGCCGTTGCTGTCCAACATGCTTGGGTATGGCATGTGCTATGGTTCGTTTCTGGTTCTCTCGCCGACCGACTTTCTCATTGGGTCTCTGGTCCTGATCGGCCTGTTCTTCTACGATATTTACATGGTCTTCTTCACGTTAGTCCCTGGCCGCAGAATGGGTATTAGTATCACGGTGCGCTGACCGATATTCTAGGCCGTATATGGTCACCGTTGCCACCAAGCTGGACGTGCCCATCAAGCTCGCCTTTGAGGCTGGCACGAGGAAGAGCATCCTCGGCCTCGGCGACATTGTCATCCCCGGCATGGTCATTGGCTGGGCTCTGCGCCTTGATCTTTGGATCTACTACATGCGCAAGGTCAAGTACGAGTCGACGGATCTCAAAATCGTCGAAAAGGACGCCACATCGGGCGAGCTGGTAACACGCAGTGAGACCAAGCACCGCGAGATAAAGCCGCGGTACGTCAACGTCAAGGCTTGGTGGGGAGAGAAGCTCTGGACGCGCGGCACGCTGTTCGTCACCGGAGCCAGGCAGGTCCCCGCGGACCTGGCAGCCGTCAGCTTCCCCAAGACGTACTTTTACGCGTCCATGGTCGGCTACGCGCTGGGCATGATGGCGACACTGGCCATGTTGATCGTCTTCAAGCAGGGCCAGCCCGCGCTGCTGTACCTGGTCCCCGGCGTCCTGGGGTCTCTGGTCGTCACGGCCCTCGCGCGCGGCGAGATGAGGGACATGTGGACGTACACCGAAGACGGGACGCTCGACACGGTGGACGTGGTCGTGGACCTGGACGGCGAGGGCAGGGCAATCAAGAGGATTGGCAAGCTGGAGAATGGCGTCGTCGATACCACGAAGGAGGCCGACGGCGGCGACAAGGACAGCAAGGATGGCAAGAGCGGCGACAAGACCAAGGCCGACAAGCCCTCCGACGAGCCGGAAAGAGGCGAAAAGGGGAGGAAAGGGCACCGAGTGTTTTTGCTGTCGCTGGACGCGCCGTCCGATGGGGAGTACGAGGACTAGCTGGCGGCGATATTATCACACATGGCGTTGCGGACTGTCGATACAGGTGCGTCGGCGATACAGGGGCGTTGTCCTGTAATAAATGTAATAGACTATAGAGCAGAAAGACTCTGACTGAGCATCATGCCACTCTCGGTCCTTGAACTGACACCTTGTTCTTGAGCTCATAGTCTGCGTCGTACCAGTCACCCGGATCCCTCCCTCTCTCGTCAATAGCCCCCCTGTACTTTACTTACATTGAAGCTTTTGGAATCTCCAAAGAAAGAATCATCAGACACTGCGCCACTCCGCACCCCCCCTGCGCTGGACCACCTCGCGCAACGGTCGACGTGTGACCATCCCTCTACGCGCTACCATCCTAACGCCAACACGGCAACAAACAACAGTTAGTGCAGAGACTCGGCGACTAGGGTGTGAGTTTCCGGCTCGTAGCAGGACTGGGGACGTTGGCGCACGACTTTGTGGCTTTACGGTGGATCTGTCTAACCTTGTCCTTAAGCCCGTTGGTGAATGTGGCGATGGCATCGCGGAGAGTTGTTGCCGGTGTTGATGCTGACATTGTGGCGCGGTCTCCCTCCATGTCACAAGCGGCCCTGCGGTGTACGTGGCAGTCCACGGCTCCCATCCCAAACAGCAATAGCATTCTTCAAGTCTATGGGTGTTTTCTTTTGAGATAGAGCAGTTCGCGGGATTTGCAAGTCCGTCGTGTGTGTCTTTGTGTGTATAGTCTTCGTGTGGCCAGCTCTTGTCAGGTGCGCGCAGCTGCACACCCACGTGCCGCCAGCCCAGCCCGTCAAACTATCTCTCCCCGATTCTCGGATGTTTACCACATTCACACCCAGAAAAGCAAACCTTATTCTCTCGATAGGCTACACTACATTACCCCCTTTCACACAACTGCATGGTTCGTACAGTAGCCTGCCTGCTGGGCAAGGCTTAGCAGAGGCCTTGGGTCTCCTTCGGTGTATGCGTCCACGGCCTTACACGCGAGGAGACAACAACAGGTACGAAAGTGTCTTGTGTGTTGACGATGGGTTAAACTCTCCCGACAGGTAAACTCTATACGCCGCGGACTTGTTTACCAGATAGGGTTCTTTGGAGGGGACATAGTCTTGCCCAAGCTCCCCTTCGCTGCTTTTTTTTTCTTTCTGACCTTCTTCACCTTCACCTCCTCGGTCTGTCTGGCTTCGTCGTGCACACGCAACTTCTATCGCACTTAGCAACTTCCACCGCACTCAGCAACTTCCACCGCACACGCCTACACGCGCGAACGTCGTGACATCTACACGAACGCACACACACACATACGCACACACACATACACACACATACACACGCACACATACACATACACACGCAGCGGACTACTCAACTCTACGCCGCACGTCCATCAAGACTCTCGACCCCTGGTCTTCCTGCCACTTATTTTGTTTATTCCTTTATACGATACGCGACTAGATATCGCTTCCTGTGGCGAGAGTGACTTCGCCATGCCCAGTCTTACAGTCGGAAGCAAGAGGCGCGCGGACGAGGAGGAGTCACAGTCGTCCCGTCCGGCCAAGATTCCGCGCCTGAGCCGAGGCGACGACATGGAAGCGGCTCCTGGGACCGCCGCCGCCGCCGCTGCTGCTGCCCTTCTTACGCCGCCCCCAGAGACAGAAGGCGAGCAGCAACAGCAACAGCAACAGCAACAGCAACAGCAACAGCAACAGCAACAGCAACAGCAAGGGGATGAAGACACAGCCGCGGCTTCGATCCCTCGGCAGCGAGCAGACGAAGAAGGGGAACGGACGGAAGGCCAGGAACGGCAGGAAGGAGAGGAAGGCGACGAAGAGGACTTGGAAGGCGATGACTTCGAAGACGGCATCAACTGGGCCGCCGTCAACGAATTCACGTCCACCAACCCCCTCGCGACATTCATGCCCCCCTCCCGCCCCTCGGACGCCATCGACGTGCCGGACTACTACTTCGCGTGGGACGAGTCCGACTCCGACAGCGACAGCGGCGACGACTCCGGCGACGGCGCGGCGACGCTCTTCACGCCGCCCAATAGTCCCGCGTCATCGTCCGCGCCCGCGCCCGCACCCTCTGGCGGCTCCGTGCTTCTGCAGCCGCCGGACTGGCAGCCGCCTGTCCACTGGCCTCTTGTCGTGGCGAGCCCGTACAGGGAGGGGCGGTGGGTGGCGCTGTATGAGGATGGCAGGATGGTGGAGTTGGATTGAAGGCGTGGTGACCCCAGGGGGCGAGGGAGGGACTGTATGAGTGGATGGGCATCGAGGAGACTGAACGGGCATTTGAGGAGACTGAGCGGGTACGCGAGGAGACGAAGGGGGCGGGTTGGGAGGACGGGGACTCTGGAATAGGGATTGGATGGTATTCTTGAGGTGAAAGGCGCCGGTGTGGCCGTGGGGAATATTTATTCCTATTGCATATAACGACGACAGCTCACCTGGACGAACATAGAGCAAGTCAGTACGAAATAATCTTTCGACACCATCGCCTGTTGGGAAGTTCGTCGTGATATGTCAATCTTCATGTTGGGGCCCACGTCGGAGAATGGGTGAGACCAATGCTACACCAACACCCGGGTACTAAAAACACTTGATGGCCCAGACCTACACCCCCGGCTTTTCATACCAATCAGCTAATTTTTCGACTCAATACTCAGAAGTTCTTGGCAAAGAAGCTCAGAACCGTCTTGTAGCCGCGCTCATACTCCTCCTTGACGCGCGCGTCGTCGAGGTCGGCGCGGGCGCCCATCCAGCCATGGATCTGGTCCGAAAAGGTCTCGACGTGCTTGGGCACCTTGAGCGCGTCCTCGAACTTCTTGACCGTGTCCGCGGGCTCCTCCTTGGAGGCGAGCAGCGTCATGGGGATAGTGATGCCGTCGGCGTCGGCCGGGTCGACCATGGCAGGGTGGACGGACGCGGCGACGGAGAAGGGGTTGGTGGAGGCCTTGACGGACAGGGCCACGACCTTGCCGCCCCAGCACATCTAAGCGGTGTGAGTAGGTGCGCAAGTGATCGGAGAGAGTGTCTCTCGATGTGGCTCGGGATCAAACTCACGCCAATGATGCCGTACTTGGACACGGAGGGGTTCTTCTCCTTCAGCGCCTTGACATAGTCGGGCACATAGCCGGCAATCTTGGGCGGCGGGAAGGTGCCAAAGAAGTTGCCCAGGTTCTTCTTCTTCTCCTCGGTGTTGGGAGGGTACCTGACGCCATCAGCCCGGGCTACATGCATGAGATACACAAAGACTCAACTCACCACTCGATTGGGCAGGGCTCGCCCTTGAACCAGTCAGGGATAAAGACCTTGTACTTTTGCTTCTCGTCTCCGTAGGCGAGAATGTCGGCGCCCTGGACCGTCTGGTCAAAGTAGCCAAAGATGTCGTAGATGAGGACAATGGCCTTGTTGGCATCCGCCGGGCCAGTGACGTCTGCACCCCTCCAATAGTCAGCGTCTCCATTCCCCCAAGAAACAAGACGCAAGGATAAAATCCGAAGGCCCAGAGAAAGGGCATTAGGGAGGCATACACGTCTTCCAGCCGCCAATCTCCTCGTACGAGCCCTTGGGCTTGTACCCCTTGGACACGACGGGCGGGATGTTGCAGCAGGCCTCGTTGTGGCCGTGGGTGGCTGGCATGGTAGACATCTTGGGCGGTGGTGGTGCCGTCAGTGCAGTCGTTGTCGTAAACGCTCGGCGGTTCCTCAACGGGAGAAGTCTAGTCTGCAGCGGGGGCTGAAGACAAAGCCGGTGAAGCTGTGGCGCGGTGGTGGGGGCAAGGGCTGGAGCAGTAGTGCCGTGTAGCTGCAGGGCTCGATGTGTGGATGCGGGTGACGAGGATGCTCTCCGGAGAGACGTTGCGCGCATGAAACCAGGGGGCGGGATGTGTGTTTGCGGTGGTGAGTGTTCCGGGGTGTCGAGACGCAGTCACGCAGGGGCGGCGGCGGGGTCGTTGCATTTATCTGATAGAATGGTGTTGTCATTGCCTCGGAGGAGGGAGGGGGGAAGGGGAGGGGTGGCGCTGGAGCTCTGGTGGGGCGCGGGGTTTCCTTCAGCGCCAGGGGAAGGGAAGGAGCTGCCAGCTCAGCCAAGCCCATGATGTCACGCCTTCCGTTGCGACGAAGCTGAGTCCATGACTTCATGACGAAACGGAAGGACCGATGCAACGACACTCCTTCCGCGGACATGTAGAGGCCAATCTTCACCGCAATTCATTTTTCTGTCTGCAATGACATCGCCACTTTGTTCAATTGTCACGCACGCCAGTGGCATATTACCCGGGTGCTGCATCTGTCTGGCCAGGCACGGCCTCGGCTGCCGGCAACTTATCGACAAAAAGTTGTTGCCCCGCAGTGCCGGGATCGTCTCGGCAAATGGACAGCCACCATCCCATCTCACGCAAGTCCCGTCACGAGCGAATATTCCCGACAAACAAATCGCGGCGACCCCCATGACAATTAAAAAACAGCTATGGAGGGCAGTAGTACAGCAATCCGTTGAATGCGCGGAAACTACTAAGACGCATGTGCGTTGTGCAAAGCCCAACGGCTCTCATCGTGTTCTCCTCAGGCGTCTCCATCTCAAACCACTGCCAGTCCAAGCAATATCCGTCTGAACTCTGTCCCAGCCGAATCCCAACACACAATCCACTGCAAAGAGCAAAACCCCCCGTGCTGCCCCATCAGTCGCGGAATCCTGGGGCAAGGGCCGCCAAAAAAAAAAAAAAAAAAAAAAAAAAAGTGCCGCACTAGACGTGTGATTCAGGCATAGCCGTAGTACTCGGGCTCAATGAGGACGCAGGGGCGTTTCTCTCCGCCGTGCCAACGCAGGCAGGGAATCATGTCGGTGCGCTCTTCAACAAACATTTTGGCACCCTCAGGCAGCTCGTCGACGAGAAGAGATGCGGCCTTGGTGACCTGGTCCGTGGGCTCCCACATGATCAGCTCGCGGAATTGGAGCCGCGATGCCGCGGCGGCAGCCACCTTGAGGAGCTCCTTCATGGCGTGCTCCATGCCACTGAGGCGCAGCGTGATGAAGCGCGCGATGAAGAGGCGTCGGGAGCGATAGTCGGGGGTCCACCAAGCCCACACCTCTGTACGGTCGACGGCGCTTTTCCACGAGGCGCCCAGCCCGTCTATCTTGTCGGGCACCGGATCGGCGCCGGTGAGAAATTCATCCATGGCCTTGGCACGCACCACATGCGCTCGCAGCAACTCATGCGCGGGGATCAGCTGGGCAAAGATCTTCTTCCTGTCGCGCATGTGCGTGAAGCGGCACTTGGTCATCTTGACGTCGCGCAGGACAATGCGATCCATGTCTGAAACGCCGGCGTACTGGAGTTGCGTCGTCTCGGGCGGCAACTCGATGGGTGCACCCTTGGGAAGGCGGATGCGGAGCGTGTTGGCGGGCTGGGCCGCCCAGCCGAGCTCCTCGAAGAACTCGGGGCGGTTGTCGCTCCAGATGATGCTGAACTCGACGCGCTGCTTCCTCTCGTCGAGCGACAGCTGCACTTCCTCCAGCAGCGCAGCTGCCATGCTAACGCGGCGCTGCTCGGGGATGGTGAAGATGTCGGTGATGACGGCGGCTCGGACCGACTGCATGCCCTTGCCCACGTTGATCATGGCGTCGCGGAAGTGCACGGTGCAGCTCGAGATGACCTTGCCGGGATCGTTCTCGTGGACGAGCACCCAGTACTGCGTGTCGTGAATATTGGCATCAGTGATGGCCAGCCTCCGCTTGAGCTGGAGGTAGTTCTCCTTGCTGAGCGGCGACGCCCACATCTGCGCGTTGTTTTCAAAGTGCTGGGTCATCATGGCCGGAGTGGCAAGCCGGAAGAAGAGGCCGTTGCCGACCTCCACGGGAGACAGGTCGTCGGGCTCTGCTTCGTCCTCGGCGCTGCTCTTGGTCGGCGCGACCAGGGCCAGGGCCTGGGCCAGCTGCACGCACCTAGCTGCCTCGAGAAGGCTATTCCAGCGATGGCTGTGGCCCGCATCCTTTGCACTCCGGGGTTCGTCCTTGGCAGGGGTGGGCGATGGGTCGGCCATAGTGTTGGAGGGCGGCGGCTACGTGATGTATTGATGTGTTGTGGCTCTGGGGTGCTGGTTGGAAAACGCGAAGGACGGATTATGACACACAGTCAAGGGAGCGTCTGCGGGCAGTCGCGGGCAGCGGTTCGGGCGTGGCCTTCCAACTGCGCACGTCTGTCGAGGCGACCTGCCACGGCGACGGCGCCATGAACTGGTCGCCCGGGACACGCGCCGAGTTGTGACGGATGGGACAGATGGCGAGACACGCATTCACTAGGAGACGTGCTTCCGCGCGGCCACGAGCTCTTCTGGTCTGCTCTTGCGCGTGCGTGTTCATGTTCGAATCTGCCTCTGCCTCAATACGTGTTGCCCTGGGGTGTCCCCGGATTCCCCCAGTCGTGCTCGAACCGGCCCCAGCCTCCGTACTCGAGCTCATCTGCCATCCACAACGCGCACACAACCATGTCGTAGTAGCCATCGGCGGGCGTCTTGCCGGCGCACACATTGCCACCCATGGCGACGTTGAGCAGAATGGTCATATCGCGGAGGGGCCGCGTGCCGGGCGGCACCTGGGCCTTCATGACGGGGCGGCCGTCAATGTACCACAGCATGCGGCCCTGGCCGGCCTGACCGCCAGGCTGGTCCCAGGCGAAGTCGTAGCGCACGGGACGGGCATGCATGTCGGGGATGCGGGTGCCGAGGACGCGATGCTTTTGCGGCTCGTGATGCTGGCCCCAGTGCAGGCAGGTGTGGTTCTCGCGGTCGCCGTTCCACGTCTCGGCGATGTCGATCTCGCCGTCGGTGGGCCAGGCAAAGGGCTCGCGCGGCAGCAGCCAGAAGGCGGGCCAGATGCCGGGGGCACAGGGGCTCACGATGAAGCCCGTCAGGACGCCGCGGTCGCGCGAGAGCGTCTGCCGGCTGACGAGACGGGCGGAGGTGTAGCGCTGCTCGCGGCTTGGGGCGGCAGAGTTGGCCACGGCTCGGATGACGAGACGGCCGTCGGGCGTGCTGCATTGGGTCAGCACAGGAGCTATATCACAACTTCAGGGCAAGCGGTGCGTCCTACTGAAAGGCGTTCTCCGGGTTGGCCGTATAATGCTCGAGCTCCTGGTTGCCCCAGCCGTCAGGTCCGTTGCCCAGCTTAGCATCCCACTCGGCCGTGACGGGCACGTCCGGGCGGAACTGCGGGCGCCAGTAGACGGGGCCGGAGGCGGCGCCGGTGGCCGGAGGGTGCGGCGGGACGGGTGGAGGCTGCTGCTGCTGCTGCTGCTGCTGCTGCTGCTGCTCCTGCTCGCCCGGACGCGTCTGTTGCGGAGGGTGAGGCGGCACGGGCGGAGGAGCGTTGGGCGGCGCATGGCCGGGACCGGGACCATGGCCGTAGCCGTAGCCGGGTCCGGGTCCGGGTCCGGGTCCGGGTCCGGGGCCGGGGCCGTAGCCATAGCCCGGTGGCTGCTGCTGCTGCTGCTGGTAGTGGCCGGGGGGCGGCGCCTGCGCGTGCGACGACTGGCCCCCACCCGACACGAGACTATCAAACTCGCCCTTTAATTGCTTGAGCTTGTCTTTCCAAGGCATGTTGGGCGGCGGGTTTTGCAGCGGCAAGCCGACCAGGCGGGGAGGAGGGGAGGGGAGGAAGGGGTGACGTGGTGGAACCGGTTGGGTTGGGGAGGGCAGCAAAGTTGACTTTGGGCTGGCCTGGCCCCTGCTCCTTCCAGAAGGCAGAGCGCAATCTCCCCGGTCTTGCCCTGGGAAAGGTGCACCTGCTGCAATTACGGATACCTCGCCTCCCTTTGGGGCACCGACAGGCCAGAATTGGTAGTAGTACATAATACGAATACTGACCCTCGTCATCCGTCCACTGCCGAGACCAGCACAGCCTCAACTCAACTCAACTCAAGTACCCAAGTCAGCACTCCCTCTCACCGCTCGCCCGCTGCCCTGACGTCACATGACTGAAGACGGCCGTCGCCAAGCTGCACAGAGTGCTCCGTATCCAGAATTCGAGATCCACGCACATGGACAAGGGCCGTCGCCGCCCTGCTGGCCGAGCTGCACAAGTCAGGGCAGCGAGCAAGGTTCGGCAAGTGCCTGGAATCCCTGGCTTCCAGGCGGGCCCCAGAAGCCCCCTTGCCTGGCCCGGCTTCGGAACGCTGCCGACTGCCTCGACGCGCGCCCATCTCGCCAGCCGCCGCCCCACGCGAGGCCGGGATGACCATCCGCATTCGCAACTTCACCTCCAGCCGAGCCGTCCCTGGCCTGACCTTGCTCTGCGCCAAGTCTGTTGCGCGCTCCGTACTGTGCGCCGGCCGCGGCCCGTACTTGGCGGAAAAGTCGCCGTGGAAGCGGCACTCGGCGCCCGGTCACCGGCGGATGGCCCATGGACCGTCCTCCCTGCAGCCAGCCTGGAAACCCACACAGTCAATGCAGGCGCCAGAGCAAGAAGCGAATTCCCTGTCCACTGGATTGGATCTTCAAAG